TCTTGCTCAGAGACCACCAGAGAGTGCAGGCTGTGATGATTGAACCGGGTACTTGCAACGTTTTCATAACACAAGGGCACTGCTCTAACCACTAGAGCTGACCTGATGAGTTCAAGAGCGGCAGTGGCTCTGTACAAGCTCTTCATGGGGAACAATCTTCAGGACACCTTCTCAGAGACTGTGGCTCTGAGAAGGTGATCCTCGGGAACATGATCTCTGTGGAGAAGTACCTTATTAAAACCATCCTCAACCATAGAGTCATTGAGAAATTGGATTATCTCAAGGACAGAAGGGCAAAATTAATGTACAAGAAATAAACCTGTACAAGAAATAAAATTTTTGTTTTGTAAAGTGTTTTTCATGTTTTCTTTTTTTTGGTTTTCATATAAATATAAATATATGATAACTTAGTATTTGTTTGATTGGTTTGTTAGAGATTAGAATATGCTCTTTACTTAAGTGATTTTGCTCCATTGTTAACATGAACAAGTTTATCTAAGAACAAAGTTATATTTTCCACATTAGAATGCAAAAAAAAAAATCTAGTCTTCTGCTTTATTTTCTGCAGTTGCTATTTCCATTTGTTCTGCACAGAGCAAGATGTCCTACTGGATAATGTGAGGGAGGTGGTGCCTGTTAGGGACATCTGTCTGCTGTACAGCAAGCAGATATATCCATTCAGGCAGGACAGTATGCTGAAAAATATGTGATGGAGAAACTACAAGCTTTGTAGTGTGAGCTCATGGGGTTCCAAAAAAACATGGATCTGATCGAGGCCATAATGACCAAGATAAAGTGGAGGGCAGCGCACTGGTCTGCAAGAAGACAAGAATAAAGCAGGAACTCTTACTATGTTAAAAAACAGAGAGGAATAGATCACAGGGAAAATCGAAGTGTTGACAACATACACTTGAGGGAGACATGCGTATGCAGTGTCAACACTACAACTGAGAGGGTAATCCATACTTTGCAATTGCTCATTCATCAAAGTGTGCATCACCGGGGAGCTGATTTTGCCATATTCTGTGCTCACCAGCAGTGTTTAACTAGCAGTCATTGTGAATATGTGAATATGGAGGAATGGAACATGCATAACGGCGTCACACCACATCTTTCTACAGACAAGTCCAGTCTTCTCTACAGGCATTCTCTCTTGTAAAAAGCCATTCAAGTTTAGCCAAGTCAGTGTTTTAATGCTTGATTAGCACATATGTGAAAGCGTGATGTCTGGAGCTCAGCTGGTTTGCAGCTGGGATAATTTTAGATGCACTGTATGCACTTAATTTTATCAGCAGGGTTAATAAAAGAAATAGAGGGATACACTAGATGATACAGAGTATTCTTTTTGAACTGTAAGTTTAAAACTTAGTGAAAATAATTGTATTTATTATTAGAGGCACCATTTTTTTTTATTAAATTCACTATGCGCCCACACATTATAAAAAACCAGTTAGGAAAATGTTCCCTAAAATTAATGCTGCTATTCCACAGACCAGAATTCTTTGCTGATTCTTTTCACTTGACGAAGTAGCCAGCGTATGTCGATGTAAGAAAAGTTTGCCAAAAACGCTGGATAAGTTGGATAAGTTATGGATAAGTTACGAGCATAATGAAGCACGTCGACATATGACTCTTAAAATTTCTTGAACTATGCAGATATGTGGGCCATAAGTTACAGGTAAGTTATATGATCTTTGACACACATTTATTGTAAGTTACTCATAAGTCGTGTTGTCTAATTGATCCAAAACCTATAAGTAACTTGTGCATAGCTTATCAACAACTTATCCCCAACGCATATCAACATATGCATGTATATGTCCTGTGTTCCAGCCAACCACTAAACGTGTTTTTAACTTACAGCTACGTTATAATGGCCTATTGGCAGCATTTTGGTATAAAACGGGCTTCACAGGAGGAAACCATCAGTGCTCCTCCAGACTTCATGGTGAGTAGACATTCCACAAGACATGGAGGATCCGGCAAGGCTGAGACGTTCAGACAAGCTGTCCTCCAACATCACCATGATCTCATCAATTTGACCCTGTTCCAGTTGTATATAGTAGAAGGTTAATACCGTGACTGCGGAGTTTAGAAAAATCTTCTTCTTGTGTTTTTTATGTAGGTGGGGCACCTCCTGGGGCATTGTTGCCCCCCTCAAGACACCGGCTTGTGACATTTTATTGGCATTATGATGGCGTGTGTTACACTTTATATTTGTTATATTTTATATATATGTTATATTCGCTGTGAATACTCTATGTACACGGCCAAAATTGAAAAAATACAAAAAAAACTTCAGCGTATGCCTGCATTTTATGAAGATTCTGGGATGTTGGCATACGCTGGCTAAATGTGACAGCACCATTGGTAATAACATTATAATTTGTACTCTCCTCATCCTTATCACTTTGAAGAATGCCACTCTGTCTTCCTGTTGCTTTTGTATTGTGTTTTGTAGGTGTGACTTAATGGTATAGTGGATGATTTTCACGAATTTTTTAAAAGACCCGTCCTCTCTACTTTAAAAAGAAAAACATTCACATTCACAACCCTGTACCCATTCCCAAGAGGACCATATGTCGGCATAACAATGTCTATTTAGGCTGACCCACAGAGAGGAGTTAAAAAAAAGATATAGAAATGAACAAGATGTAACAGTTATTTAAAACAGAAAATAAAATCAACAATTCCCCCCTTTGAGGTGGTCTAAATACCAGCTCTCTAATAACTACATGTATGCAATATGTGGCCTAACTATATATGACAAGCAAAACCGTTCCTGTCCATTACTAGGAACCACACCCTCCAACAAGAGAGTGGAACACCAATCTCTCACATGAATTGCTCGTGACTAAGTATGAAGTGCCAATTAATTAAAGTGTTTCCTGAATCCCCCCTTAAATAAAAAAAAATAAAAAATCTTGAACAGTAGAAACAGTAAAAAATTATTCTGATATCTGCAACCGACTCTCAATTTTAAAAGTCACCTAAGCTAATTAAGTGACACTCTGATCTAATTGATAAATTATAAAAGCACCTATGGAAGTTTAGAGCCATGATGCATGTGAATAACCTCCTGAACAGACCTGTAAATCTATAAAAACAATAGTACAGGTGTAAAACACTGGAATAAAATGATATCTCAGGTAAGAATTCCAACTCTTAAAGTGATTTCCATTAGTCATACGCCTCTCCAATCTAATATTGGTGATTCCCACTGAAACTGATTTTTTACATAGAGGCAAGCCATTATGAGAAAATGGTGGGTGGTGAACTCATGGCAACAGATGAAGGTGGATATGAGATTAGTCATCACCTCAGTGTGTAAACAAGCAAACACAAGGAGTCCTATTTTAGGTTGAGATGTACACCATTTCAAACTGTGGCTTCGGCTCTGACAATATGATTGCTGGTGTTATGAGAGAATGTAATGAGAGAATATAATGACGATAATACAGTAAGTAATGAGAGAAAGGAAGAGCAAAGGAAGGGGTTATCATGGGAAATCATCATGTTATTAGCTTCTTTTATGACCTTT